CATTACAGGAGGACCTGGATAAAATAGGGGAGTGGGCATTAATGTGGCAGATGAGGTTTAATGTTTATTTTTAATGCAAAGTAATGCACTTTGGAATTAAAAATAAACAAATGGGTTATACAATTATGGGTATGCCGCTGGGGAAGTCAGAAATGGAGAAGGATTTGGGGGTCATTGTAGACCACAAACTGAAAGGTAGTTTGCAGTGCCAGGCTGCTGTAAACAAAGCTAGCAGGGTCTTGTCCTGTATTAAAAAGGGGATGTATTGCAGGGACAAGTCTATAATTTTGCCACTTTATAGATCATTGGTTCGACCTCATCTGGAGTACGCGGTCCAGTTCTGGTCACCAGTACTAAGAAAAGATGTCCTTGAGTTGGAAAAAGTCCAGCGGAGGGCAACCAAACTAATTAGGGGTATGGAGGACCAGAGCTACGAGACAAGGCTACTAAATTTAAACATGTTCACATTGGAGGTGAGGAGATTGAGGGGGGATATGATTTCCATGTACAAGATGTTCAATGGTGGTAGCAACATTAGCGATAAACTGTTTAAAATTAACTCCGTTACAAAAACTAGAGGTCACCACCTAAAATTGGTGGAAAAAAAATTCCAGCACAGGGGCGAAGGGGGTTCTTCACAGTAAGATCAGTTAGGGTCTGGAACTCACTGCCACAGGCGGTGATTTCAGCAAATAATGTGAAATTGTTCAAGAAACTTTTGGCCGATTTCTTAATCGTAATATACAGGGGTACAGGTACTCCTAGAATGAGATCCTAATAGGTTGGACTTGATGGACTAATGTCTTTATTCAACCTCAAATACTATGTAACTATGTAACAATGCAGTGCAACTGTGTGACCTGGCCCTAAGAAAAATGTAAAATGATTTCTAATGGATTATTGAACATTGCATTGTGCTGTTTATAAAGATGTAACTATGAAGTCTTAGTTTTATCCTAGCTGGTAGTAATGATATACCGTATAAATGCGTACATATATAATTTATTTTTGTAAGATTTAAATTTAGCAATCGGTACTGCACAGACTTAACTGACTGACCTGTGTTATATTGTGGGCTAGTTTTGGTGTTCAGCATGATGGCAATGGAAATGACTGCGAACCCAGGGGAAAGAGACCTCATATTATGTCACCGCAGCTTCTCTATGACACTTCTCCACTTACCTGGTCCCGGTGCAGCAGAGACTACATCACACGCTTCTTAGAGTAAGTTCCAGAAATTGTTTACTGATTATAAATGTATAGTGAGTCAGTTGGACTCTGCTGCATTACTCTGTACTGCTAATCTGTTTTCATTCATCGGGGGCTGGATGAAAGGTGTTTAGGTAGTTTACAGGAGAAGGGGAGTTCAAGGAAGGTCTCATCATTGTGGTAATGCTTATTCACAGTCCAGTGAACAAGGACATGCATGTGGCATAGGACTATACAGAGCTGGGGTTAAAAATAATGATGTCACCCTGTCTGTGGCAGGAAATTGTACCTGATATCAACATGATGCTTTATGTAGTTATGATCCTAATTAGTGTAGCACTCACCCCTTAAGGAGCCGCTGGAATAATCCAGGTCATCACCAGTCTGTCTAAGGGATTTGGTCTTCAGCTGCCCCATTAGCATTAACCACCCTCTTTAGTGCCCACAAAGCTGATGTCCACTCCAGTATTGCAATGCTGAATAACATTTATTAAACATCTTCATACTGGGGAGAGAGGGTATAGGAATCCTAGACTTCCAGGGTGTAACTAACATAGACTCCAGATTCACCAGACCTTGTTAGCATCTCAGTATAGATCCACTTGGAGTACAGCAAATAGCAATTGGAGTAACAGATGAGCAGGAGATGAGTACAGATCCTCAGCAGGAGAGGCACCAGCCATGCTCCAGAGGTCCTCCATGTTCCAGGAACCTCTAGCAGACATCAGCTTCTCTGGTTCTCCTCCTCTGGCAAACAACACATGCCTTCTCAATACTGGAGGCCTAGGGAAACACTTCCCGCACTACAGCCTCTGCCCACTCCCAGGCCTCAGGCTAGGGTTGCCATTTGTCCGGGTTTTGAATGCTGTGTCCAGGTTGCATGGCAGATGAAACCCGGACACAAGTTGTCAGGCAGACAGGGGCAACCAAAATTAAGAGATGGCACCCCACTGAAAATAGTCTATACTGTGATATTTACATATGAATAGGTGGTGCTATTTACATATGAATAAGCTGCGACTCATTCTCTAAAAAGATTTTCCATGAGTCGCTACAGTGTTCGGGTTTCGCTGGAAGAAAGGTGGCAACCCTACCTCAGGCCTAGCCTGGGGGGCCGGCTGGATAGTATCCAGCCCTAGTCCATGGCTGGCCCCGACTAGTCTGAGCACATGGCCAATCCCTTCAGTATATGTACCCTATCCCAGCATGCACCACTAGTTGAGAGAAACCCAGTGACTGGCTGCTGTACTGTACATACACTCACAGTGTCTCTCATTGGCTGTCACACTCCACCCAGGTAGGTACAGGCAATGCCAGACACCTGGGATTAACCAGATAAATGCCACTATAATCCAGCCAGGCCGACAACAGCCCTGGCAATCATTAAATGTCTAGTAGCAACATCACAGAAGGTAATCGGGGCTACATTAGCTATTGCTCATAATGCAGTTTGAGTCACCGTTGCAACCCTCCTGCATGTGCCTTCATCCACAAACTGCTGTAGTTATGAATATTCGCTCAGCTATGAGGAAGCATACGTTCAGCTTACAACCAAAACACCAAGTGGCTGTCACATGAGAATCTAAATGTGCTGGTGATATTTATCAACTTTAACCTACTTAGTTTTACTTGAATGCCCTTTACATATTACAAAACAATGTTTATTCTTATTGTCTAAGGATCATAACAGCTATGCTTTTATATGCAAATTAAGTATACAATTGATTAAAATCATAAAATATTGATGGAAGATGAAAACTAAGAGGGTTATTCACTAAGGAGCCAAAGGATTTAGCCGTAGCTTTGGCTGATACTTCGGCCGCCGGAGCCCTTGGGTTCAGTCGAACCGAAGGGCTGCTGTACAGGCTATTCACAATAGCCCATACAGCAGCTGAAGGCAGGAGAACGGCTGAGCCGAGTCGGCGCAAACGCATTTGCTTCTGGCTGAGCCGTAGTCACAGCCGAAGCGGGGAGAATGGTCTGCCAAAGCAAATAATAACAACTGGGCAGACATCATTTGTTTTTATTCGGCCGGTCCGGGATGTGACAGGTGCCGACAAATGAAAACAGTTGGACGGAGCTAGCATTGATGTCGCCCAATTGTTTATATTTTGCCGGCATCTGTCACATTGTCATTTTGCGGCAGGAGTTCGCCGCGTGAGGTCAGGTCGGCGGGCATAATTTTTTACAAAATTTGGCCGAGTCGTCGTGATGGACAACGCTCGACCTTGTGATTGACCCTGGATTACGTCGTTGGATCAATTTGTTGGGATTTTTTTTTGTTAAATAAAGGAATTGTCCAAAAAAAACTTTTTTTTATCTATTATGGGATTTTTTCTAAAGTGTGGGCCCTTTAGTTAAACTTTGATTTAACCCTTTAGTGAATGAGTAGGGGTACAAGTACCCTTTTACTCATTCACAAGGAGGGGGCAGCATCTGGGTGCCCCCTTAGTTTACATTTTTTAACATTATGCTTGCTACCTCGGAGGCAACAAGCAGATCGCCACCATTCAGCTATTTGCTCACTTCTGTTCAGCCCCTATATAATAGGGGCGAACGTCAGTGAGTGAATTGCTGACCAAAGGTAGCTGATGTACGGCTGGAATCAGCCTACAGAGCTGAAGTGAATAGCCGAACGCCGTTCGGCAGCTTTAGTGAATAACCCCCTAAGTATTAAATGAATCTCTATTCATTTTTCTCATCACTCCTCTTTGTTAGGATAAAACCCATTCTTAATGCTCATTGTAGATATATCTTATTTTTGTTCCGCTTTCCTATGTTGATCATTACTTTTATGCATTTGCTTCTCTTTTTATATGTTTAAAATAAGACAACCCAGGTGGGACTTGAACCCACAATCCCCAGCTCCGGAGGCTGATGCCTTATCCATTAGGCCACTGGGCCAACCTTAATAAGTTTGTGAAGAATTCATTTTTAGGCCTCATTCACACTGCCGCGCATATACACAATATACAATTTTGCTCTTGCGTTGTGTGTGAATGAGGCCATGAGGCCTAAGTTAAGCACAGCAGAAAGTGTGATGCCATTGTAGACAAAGTATGATGTCATCACCACCTTATGCCTCTCGGTTTCACTTTTTTTTATCTGAATTGTGGGCCTCTGCACATTATTGTCTTTATGTTTATAGGCTCCTCACCTCTGCTGTTCTGCAGTGGGGTCATTAACTGATTAATGCCAAACCTGAGTATTATACTTGGGTACAAAACTTAGCACTTAATTCCTTTGTCTGGAGGTTGGTCCATGGGAGAGTTATCAATATAAATGAGGTACACTCTCGTTGTTGTGGTAAATATTCATTCTGAATCGGTGTATCCAGAAATGCAATGATATTGGTATGAATATGAAAAATACTTTTAGGACCCGTGCAGCAGTACTTCTACTTTTGTAAATACAAGCTATCATTTGCACTGCGGCCATCAACTGGCCCACTGGTTCATTCACAACAAGAGTCAATGGACCTCTATTGACTCTTGTTGTGAATGGGCCAGTCAATTATAAAATGTAAATATATCAATGAATGCTGTGAATAAAGTAAAAAGGCTTGTCAACTTTTTTTAAATATACATAAAAAATAAATAAATTAGATTAACAGCTTAATTTACTGTTTTAAAATCTTTGTATAAATGTATATGTGTGTATAATGGCTTAATGACCAGTCACAAAGCTGTTTTAACATAAAGTGTTGGAAATACAACAGCATATACAGACATGCACTGATTGTAATACTGACTGCAATATGTCTTTTGACCTATAGATGGCAGCGTAGTGCAACGTTAGTCTCTACGCTTGCTCATCTATGATATACAGGAAGTTCTCTCTGTTTGGTGCATAATGTTGTATTCTGATGTAACATCCTCCCTAGCAAGTACAACTTAATTCAGCATTCCTCAAGAACAGTCTTTTATTTCTTCCATAAGAGAAAGAGCTTTTCTTCAGCAGCACAACATATAGTCCACTTGTCTTTCAGCAAATAGAATAGATAATCTCACCATTCTCAGGTTGTCCCATACCTTCAGTGTCCCAATCCCAAGACTTCTGTCTCTCTCAGCCCATCCAAATCTTCCAGCCTTCCTGGCTGTTCCTCGTGTGGCACCACCACACCTGGCTTGGCCCTCGTGTGCCTCTAGCACTCACCACACCAACTCCTCCCTTGACCTCTGGTCTGGATTCGTAATGAGGCTGCTCTCCGCCACCTGATCAGCAGCAACACCTGACCCCAGGACTTGAGATTTCATCCCACCTAGAACACTTATAAATCTCCAGAGATCCAGATCCCAGCTATAATCCGGAAAGCCTGGAAGAATCTGAAAGGCCAGCTTCTTCCCTGCAAAACTGTTTACATTCTGGAACCTCTGAGCCATCAGTACAGGACACAGTGGTGATGTGGAGTTGGAGAAAGGAACCACAGAGCACAATGGGTGACCAGACATTCAATACAGCCAAAAGGCTGGGTTCACACCTAGGCGTATTATATCTGTGCGTTTGTCGCGTGTTCCGCGTTTTTCCCGCGATTCAGGGTAAAAAAACGCGTGACAAACGTGCGTTTCCGAGGGCTACTTGGCTGTATCCCAATGGAAACGCCCGACCAAAACGCCCCAAAGAAGTACATGTACTTCTTTGGGCGTAGGGCTGTTTCCCGCGCGTTCGTACTCGCGGAAAAACGCACAGATGGGAACCATGCACATTGAAAATAATGGCATTTCCCTGTTTGAGCGTTTTTCCGCGAGTACGAACGCGCGGAAAAACGCCCAGGTGGGAACCGGGCCTAAGTGATTCTAAAGTTTTTTCAGCAAGCTTATCTCTATTTAGTTGGATATACACCAGTAGATTTTTTTTTTCCAGCTGAAAAGAATATATATCACAATCTCCTGTCCTGCAGTAGCTATTGTATTTTCACAGTCAACCTCAACGGCTGTCAAAATACCTGAGCAGTGCCTATATCTGAATGGTTGCAGGCTCTGTTTAGCTGCCAATTTTCTGCCCATTTCCTTAGA